TGTGTGTGTATGTATAGAAGATGTACAAAAATGTTCCTTTAGGTAGAATTGGGTTCCTGTCATATTTATTGAGGGAAAGAAAAGCAGTTGCCTGAAAATGGTACTTGTAATGTACACATGAGTCCTAGTGACAGATTATATGTCATTATATAATTTGTACAGGTACACAGTGTCTGGTTCTAAAACTGGTTTTACATACAGATTATGATTTGTAAAGCAATAGTTAATCACACCTGGGGAACTGTTTTAAGAAGGCCTTGACAAATAATTTCTTTGGCCATGAGAATAATTGCCACCTTTATATGTTCAGATTTTCATGTATTGTGCAGGTAGCTTTTATGTTAGTGGGATTGCTCAAAATTTTACAGTTAACATGAATTCAGGGGCTCTCTTGAAATTTGGCTTGGTGAACTACAGTTACATAATAGATTGGTCACACCTATTTTTGATGGGAAGCCTTAATGTTCTTATTAATATTACATTATGTTCATTTATTTAAGAAAAATATTGACCACTACAGTCCTCCTCGTCCTGAGTTCCACAAGAGATTAAGCCTTGATTTCCACAAGCAGCGGTTCTCAAAGTGTGTTCCCTGGACTAGCAGGGAACGAGTTCCTTGGAACTTGTGAGAAATGTGAATTCTTTTGCCCAACCCAGACCTACTGAATTAGAAACTGTGAGGGTAGAGTCCAGCAATCTGTGTTTTTTACGTGCCCCCTCCCCCCGCAAGGAGTCTCAGCCACATTGAACTTTGAAAATCATTGCCCTTAGGCATCCATTATTAAATGTTGTCTGCTGGATCAAACATTTATGGTGGGAGCTGTCACTACAAAACAAAGCCCCTACTCATGGGAAAAGTTTTGTAAGTCAATTATTTCATTTCAAATCTGATTTTCTAGTGAAAAGTTTGATATGAGAGAATTATCTTTGCCTTCATGACTAAGAAGTCTAAATCCCAACTTCTTATAGAAATCAACATAGCCATCATCCAATTAGTTACAAATTATATAATGGCATATTTCCCAATGTTAATGTTATCAGTTAATTAAACAGAAGAGCACAGTACTCTGTCAGATCATTACAACTGAGTTCATAAATCCAGCATTATTTTTACTTGAATCAACTCAAAACAATCATGACATTTAGAAAGACTTCTTTAGATGTGTTTGGCCAGGCAGATTTGGAATTACTTTGAGGAGATGACTACAGGTCAGTTCATGACTTCCAGAGAAATTGATTTAGGATTTTTTTTTCATGTTGTGTTCCCATTTGCCTATTTCCCTGTAGTAATATAGGTACTAGAGACTGATTTGCTAGTCATTGTCCTCACCACCTTTAAAATAAAGCCTATCAATTTTCTTAGGTTGCCATCTTATCAGCAGTGGTTCTTTCACCTTTGCACCCTGATACGGTGCTAGGAACACATGCCTTTAAAATGCAGCTTTTATTATGCAGGAGTTTTCAGCCTCTGGTTATCACTGGATAAGACAGGAGATTCCTCAAGTTTTCACTTTATTTGTACCCTGCTAAAGCACACAAGGCTAAGTTGGACACTCATCCGAACCACCAAAGTCAAGATTTTACCAGAAGCCCTGATTTTACCAGAAGCGCTGACCTTTATTTTTCAGTAGTGGATCGGCGCTGTAACTAGAGGTTTGATTTTTGTGATGTCTTTTGTTGTTCTTTGTTGTTTTTCCCCTTTTGTTAGTAATTACGAATTTATTGCCTTCACATGAAAAGCACCTTTATCTTCAGAGCAATACTTGGAACATAGTAGATACCTAACAAGTATTTGCTGAATATTGATTTTCCTGCCACCAAAAAAAAAAAAAAAAGTTTCATTTTTCATTTTCTCCTGCCTTGGCTCAGCTTTGCTCTTCACACTTCCTTCCTCTGCTGTTGAAGGTAGTATTGGCCTTTGAGAAAGATCTGTGATCATTTGATTTTTCATTTCCTGAAGTGAATTGTGATGTTGACAACAGCAAAGGTGGTTTGTAAAAGATTATTTTATGTTAAAAGTCAAATAGGATAAAATTTGCATTTAACTTGTTCAGACTTGGACAATACAACAGGTATTTCCATTTTAATGCCTTCTGGTTGGTTAACTTATTCATGCATTTTGTCTTTACAGTAGGCAACCATGGTTATGATAATGCATTAGCAGAAATGCATCCAATATTTTTAGCCCACGGCCCTGCCTTCAGAAAGAATTTCACAAAAGAAGCCATGAACTCCACAGATCTGTACCCACTGATCTGCCACCTGCTCAATATCACTGCCATGCCACATAACGGATCACTCGGGCATGTCCAGGACCTGCTCAGTTCAACAGCTCCAAGAGCCATTCCTCACACACAGAGTACCACCCTCCTCCATGGTGGCGTCAAACCAAGAGAAAACGAGCAAGAGGAATCATATGCTTATTTCATAGGGGTCTCTCTCGGTAGCATTGTAGTTATTGTGTTTTTTATAGTTTTCATTAAACATTTAATTCGCAGTCAAATACCTGCCTTATCAGATATGCAGGCTGAAATAGCTCAACCATTATTACAAGCCTAATGCTACTTTAAGTGGAGATTGCCTAATTATGGCAGTGTTTAAAGGTTTCAGATTCTAGGAAACCACTCTCAGACCTTCGCACAGACAATTAAGCAGGTACTATACAGGCATAGTCTCTCTCTCTCTCTCTCTCTCTCTCTCTCTCTCTCTCTCTCTCTCTCTC